CTTTACATTCTTTTACGTGCTAATACCCTTGGGAAAGGTATGAATCCTCTTCATCTCCCTCCAGCTAAGGGTTCTGTAGCCTTGGATAGCAACTGGTCTACTGCAAAACGAAATGGCAGCCTACTGCGGGAAAAAATCTGCTTCGTCAGTCATGTATCGAAAGATACTTTATCGCCTAAGCGTGTATCACGCATGACACATAACTGACTAATTGATCAGAGAGAAGTAACGGTATAATGCTGTATGTAAAAAAATGTCTTTTTATTTATTTTGGGGTCAAGTCAGATATTTCGAGGTTTCTGTATTTTTATGATCTGTGAAAAAAATACAGGCTGGTTGTCCGAGGCGGGAAATAACAGTGGGGCACAAATAAAAGTGTTTTATGCTGATGCATTTATGTAAAGACTGACATTCGGTTTTGGGTAACAGTCACAGATTGGAAAAAAAGTCATACATGAAAAGAGATTTACGATAAAAAGATTTCTTAATTAATATGTGAAGTGCAAAATGAAACACTATCAAGCACTGGAAGTGTCTCAAATAAACGGTTTATGGAATGGGAATAATTAGAACACTAAAAGTAGTTGACATCATTTTCACAGTGGTGTATGAATGGTTTTATGGGGAGTAAACACCCGAGATTTAATTCCTTGGTAGAATGAAAGTTTTACGCCAACAAAGAAATAAAATACTGTCTACTCTGATCCTTGCGGGAAGATATATTTCTGTTGAATGTGTCAGTTTACCAAAGTAAAATTGTTGAGACTTAATAGGAGTGCAATGGGTCAAAACAATTTTGAAACTCATTCACAATAATCGTAAAACAAACTGATTTGCAACAGCGCTGAGACAAAAATAGGCAAAAACATCCTTCAAGAAAGCATAATGCAGGGTTTAAATCTTGTTTCATAAAACATACCATTTAAATTATTAAAATATCTTATGCCAAATTACATTTGATTTTAAACTTAGAACTAATTTACTGTTACTCTCTTCTCTACGGAGCAGAAATATGGATCAATTTTGTATCGACTTATTGGTTGTTATATGTAAGAAAACCGTTAATTTTACTTCCTTCAGTTCTATTAGCTGAAGGAAGTAAAATGTATATTTCGCTTATGTCTTCATTATTTTAAGTCATAAGGCCAGAAATCGTAACACAGCAGAACCAATTCTGAACTGGTGCTGCTTAAAGGAAAATAAGTTTATAGAGGAAGACTTCAGAATAGTTCGTTTTTATAAATCTTAGCACTACGTCACTTACTAGTTATTTAGGTATTGAGAAATCGTATGTAGACTTATTTTGGATTCTGATAATGTTACAAGCAGATAATCATTCGAAAGTAGGCGAGTCGCTCCTATTCGTCCAAGTCCACACGACCTACTGAGGGTGCACATTACGATACCTATAAAGTCCCGAAATGTTTTAACATCCCTGTCGTTAGCACCAGATCTTGTCCCTGTACGATATCTGTCGGGGTCGCTGAAACTACCTGACGTGATGTCGTCAAAACGGCTAGATCTACCGAAACGAATCAGGCCGCTCAACATGGTTATTGGGCACACAAACCCCAATGGGACGAAGAGCCTTATCCTTTATGGTAATATCCAGCACGTAAATTTAAAATACCGCTTCAACAATGTATGACAAGTATTTTAATGGTCACTGTTGCCAATGGAATCTTCTTCTTCTTCTTCTTCTTCTTCTTCTTCTTCTTCTTCTTCTTCTTCTTCTTCTTCTTCTTCTCCTCCTCCTTCTTCTTCTTCTTCTTCTTCTTTTTCTTCTTTGTTCCGTGTCCCTTCAGGACATTAGCGATCATAGCTTTCCACAATATCCTCTACTTTGTAGTTCTTAATAAATTTTGTCTTTTGTTATCTCTCGTGAACCTTCTGTGGTAGTTCTTCTTGTAGTTTCCTCTCTGTGTCTACTATTAACACGGTGTCATTTGTATATCTTATGATGTTAAGATTTTTGCCACCAATAATGAATCCTAGTGGAAATAATTCTCTCAGAATCGCCTTACTCTATAGGTGAGAATACATCCTTAGCTTAAACACCTTTCTATTTAAGTTCTTAAAAAGAAAAGAAAAACTAGTTACTTAAAAACCAGTTTAATTTTAAATACAATATTTAAAGTCCATCTGAAGTTATACAAATCACAAAATCCTTAATAATTCGAATTCGCATTGAACAATTTTTCAAAATATTTTTCATCATAAACTTTATTGAACGACATACTTATAATTTTACATTATCAGGTTTATAATTTTGTCCATCTTCAAGTATTTATCTTCCACATTTTTTTAACATCTTTTGTTGTTTTTCCGGAATTTAAATTCTGTAATGACGAATATAAATGGCAATCAAAAAGTAGAATATCTTTTGAATTATGTCGGTTACAACTAAATATTCTTAATCTCATCTAACATTAAAATCGAAACGGATTTTTAACCTATCCACTATGTGAATTAAATTTGGTTAAAAATTCGATACAAGAGTATTTATTGCTAAGAAATGCTTTATACTTCTAGGCATTTGGTAAAAGTCCTTGCTCAATCCTTTAATTACAACGGAGTGATGCTTGCCTCGGAATAACAGTCGAAGTGAAATCAGATCGGATATTGTCTTTGCCTTGTCGATAACGCTACTAAAACAAGCAAAACAAGCTTGAGTGTGTCATGTGTTTGAACCAGAAGTTCTAAGTAATGGGATCAGATTAATTTTTATCTTGTCGATTGAAATTTTGAATGAATTTGATACAAATCAGTTATTGGAATATACAGCGATTTTTCTACGCAAACAGTATTTTCAGCAATTAATCAACTCGTCAGTAATGAATTAAATTCTTGAAAAATAGAAAAGGTGAGTATGAGATTAGTGAAGTAAATCCATGTGAAAATGAAAAGTTAATTCTTTATTGGAAGCTTATTTTCTTGGGTGATTATAAGTTTTGATTAAAATATTAACAAAAATAAAATGGTCGACATTTTTAGGCATGAGAGAATATCATATCGTTGTTAGATTAAAAATTAATTTAACAAATTACTTATTGATCCTTCAAAGACAAAAAACAGTATCATTGATTCCGTTTCTTATATATCGACAGAAAATAAACTGAAATTAAAGAATTTATAAATAATCAATGAGATAATGTATTAAATGTGATCTTATTTTTCAGTGTATTTTGTTAACGCAATGAGTAACACATCGTTGATTTTCGAAACAAGTTAATTCCTTATCCCTTTCTCCTTATTGTTGAATTTTCTCATGTTGTTACAGAATAGTTTTTGACTCCAAAATACTCAGATTAAATAAAACGTCCTTTTAATTCTGACTTTAATCAATCACAGGTGTAAAAATATGCGAATTTTCATTTCTTGGTCTATTCGGATGTACATCATCATCTTTAAGGCTTAGATCAGCACATTTTCATTGTACATGCAGTAATCTCCAGGCAACTTTAAACAACAACAACAACAGTAATAATAATAATAATAATAATAATAATAATAATAATAATATGCTTTGATTTTCCTAATTATAAACAGAAGTAGTAGTAATTTAACGACTGAACAAAACAAATAGATAAATAAAACAAGATTTGTGTCTGAAAGCGACTACTCTACTGTAGCTCTTTACACTTAATAAATATCTATTTCAATAGCATCGATGATTTGTTTTTTACCCAACCTGTCAGCCTAACAAAATTCTCAGTAGCTACGTAGTATAGATATCGGTTTTCGAAACCTGATTTTGCTGTTATAAGAACAATAGCTATAATTACAGGAAGCAGAAAATTGGTACGACTGAATGCATGATCCAAAACAATATCACAGGGAATGTCTGTTAAGCCTTCTGATGAGTCTCATTTCATGTAAACCTTGTACAGGTACTTGCCCAAATTGTTTTATATTCCGAGCATCTTTGATTGTCATTGGTCATTTTCCAGGAGAGTAATAATTTATTTTACACGTTTATTTTTTCTTTTTTTTTCTCTAAGTTTCCAGATAACATCAAACGACTTATTCAACGCCATGTAAAACTAAAAAAAATATTTAAAAGATATCCCCTGTCAGTTTTAATATAAATGATGGATTGCTATCTAAATATAATGTTTCAACAATATTTAATTTAGATGAAAAAAAAAAATCCAGTCCGAATAAATTTGTATTTAGTTTGAAAAATATATGGCATTCTTGTGATCATTATATCTGTAAAAATTTGCAAAAGAATTTGGAATACGTAATTACGTATTCCAACGCAAAACCTTATAGTTCTTGTGAGAGTAGAAGCAACATGTCTACAAACGAAAATGCACATTTTTCCTCTAGGAACCTGAGCGAAAAAACAAGAAGCAAGTTCTGCTCATTAACTGAAAGATCGGTCTTTGTCTAACTCAAAAGTTCTACGTAGACTTCTCTTCTACAATTAGTGCTACTTTGTAGCGCGAAATGGATATCCACAAGATTTCATTGCCTTATTACGGTTATTAAAAATTAAGTTTCATATATATATATATATATATATATATATATATATATATACTACCCAGTATCTTAGTTATCTTGCAGAGCCATCTATGATTATATGGTCATTTTTATGCAAGTCTCACATTACTTCACTTGAAAATAAATTGTATGACAACGTGCCTGATTGGTCAAGACTGCTTTGTAATCAAAGTACATTAAAATGTTCTAATTGGTGTAAAATTATGACCGCTTTTGGCTGTCTAGACGTCAGAGAAGAGGGAATTTATGAACACGTGGAGTGGAAACTTGCAGGTTTAATCACCGGTGGATGCAACCAGAAATTGATATCTATAAAACGTGTCAATTAGTCAGTCACTTCAGATACTCGTTATCGAATAATAAGAACTTCCAATTCTATTGAATTAAGATAGTAATTTCTGGCGGATTTCTTATCCATGTTGTGATCCTGCATTGGTTTTGTTGGCTTATAGTCAAAGAATCAATAGAATGGAACTGAGTGGAATAACGAGCTAGATAAATAGATATGGGCAAACGGATGAGATAGGGACAAACGAAGAGAGGTATGAAGTGAGTGTTATAAGTAGACAGAAATAAAGAAAGGGAGGTATGATAAAGTTGACCAGATTTGCATATGGAGAAAAATTTAAGTTAAAGAAACAGAATAAGAAAGAGAGGGAGAGGGAAGAGAGAAAGAGGGGAAGAGCGAGAGAGAGAGAGGGGGGAGGAGAGAGGGGGGAGGAGAGGAGAGAGAAGAAGGTTACGCTGACGTAAGAGAAATGAGTTATTATTTTAATGGAGTTTGGTGATTTTTATTCTGCTTGGCTTGTTTATTGGTTGACTTTTTTTGATCATTTTCAGAAACGGTTAGAGAATAGAAGACAATGGGCCACACACACACACACACACACACACACACACACACACACACACACACACACACACACACACACACATATATATATATATATATATTAACAGATAATGACTGAGAACAAATTCGAAAAAAAGAGGGATACACTCAAATAAACACGCATGAACACCCACGCAAACAAAACGCGCGTGCATGAGAGAGAGAGAGAGAGAGAGAGAGAGAGAGAGAGAAGAAAGAAAAATATGAAAGGTTTAATTGGTTATCTGAGCTACATCCACTGAATTATTTGATATCCATTTTCCTATTTGTGTAAAAACAGGAAAACCTTCGGGTGTGGTGAAAAAGGCATACAGATATATATATATATATATATATATATATATATATACAAAGAGAAAGATAATGAAAAACGAAAAATAAAATAAAGATATAAGAATAAGTAGAAAAGAATAGAGTTGAAAGAAGAAATGAGGAAGAAAAGAGAGAGAGAGTGAACGAAAGAAGCAGAAAGATGAAAATGCAAAGGCATAATAGTGAACGAGGACTAAAATAAAGGAGTATTAATATGAAGGGAAATTAAAGGAAAGAATGGAAAATGAAATGGAAAAAGCACGCGTGAAAGAAATAGAAAAAAAAGATAAAGAGAAGTAGAAAAACTACGCAAAGAGAAAAAAATAGTGTTGAAGAAGACTATATAGCGGACAAGAGGGAAGAAAGATAGAAAGAGAAACAAAAGCAAAGAAATGGGGAAGGAGAATAAATTACGCATTGTGAGAGAAAAAGAAGGAATGCGATAGGAAAGGTAAAAGATAGAAAATTGAACGGAATAGAAAGAGAAAGTGAAAGAGAGAGAGAGAGAGAGAGAGAGAGAGAGGGTGAAGTTTGAGAGGAGGAAAGGTGGTGATAAGGAAATGCAAGACAGGCGAAAAGATAAAAAGGAAGAATTAAATAGAGAGAGAGAGAGAGAGAGTGATATAAAGAGAATAAGCAAACTAAAAAGATCCAGGATTAAGTTTGGTCAAAGAGGAGACAGGAAGAGTAAGAGAGCAATGAGCTGGAATTTTTACTAGTTTTCCTTTAGTTAAAATATTAAAAATACTCATTTGACCCATATTCTTGACCCAAGCAAGTCAAGAAAATGGTCACTATTGGAAAAGAGAACGCATTGTTCAGTAACAAAGGTGATAACACCGAATCTAAACCTGAACTATTACCTCAGATCCAATCCTAAATCTTAATTCTATGGTACTGAAGCAAATAACACATACAGGTTTATTGGCCTTGTCATCAACCAATGCATTTACTAGTCCTATGGCCACCATTTTTCGAGGTGATACTGCTTAGCAGAAACAAGCAGCAATATATATATTTTAATTTGGGACAAGTAAGTAATCATTTTTATGGGTGATTTTTGCTTTATGAATTTGACTTACAAGTCAAATTTAGATGAAACATAAACTCCTGAAATCAAGTGAATCTGTCTGATAATGAACGGTTTTCTGGAAACATACTTAGACTGTGTTTTTGCCTCCAATGTCAAAGCGTTCAGAACAGAGATAGATAGATAGAGAGAGAGACAGAGAGAGAGACAGAGAGAGTGAGAGACAGAGAGACAGACCTCAAGACAAAGGAAGATAAAGTAAGATTGAGAAAGAGTTAAAGAGGATGAGAGAGATTACAAATCAAAATTGGATAGTAGACACATATTCTTCATCCTGGAAAAGAGATAAATAGAAGCATAGAAAATTAGAAACAGAAAGAAAGGAATGAAAAAGAGTAAAGAAACTGAAAGACATCGAAATAGAAATAATAGTATAAAGAGAAATGTAAAGATAGAGAGAGATATCTTCATTTCCCTTGTTTTAAATATTATACGATGACACTTTACTTGGTTTAGCATTTTAAGAGATTTCAACCAAAACATAGACAATGGCAATGAACTGTTTCAAGATGAATAAACTTTCTGCGCAAAAAGGAAGGAAAAAGCAGCGAATAAGTTGAGGAAAGAAAGCATCAAGATTGGAATGCAAAAAAGAAAGAAAGAACAGAAATGAACAAAAAATGTAAGAGAAATTCAAAGAGGTATCAGCAATTCGAAAGGTTCCTCAGTTTACTACGTTGAAAATGAACAGAAATGATTTAACGATACAGCGTTAGCTTAAAACTTTCCTGAGACGACAAGTACGTATATTTATTTATAACTTTTAGTGTTTAATTTCTATTAACTGTCATTTTATTGCAAACAACACCAGACAACTATTGTGAAAATGTTATTGCGGAAGCGAAAAAAAAAAAGTTGAACTGCAAGTTCTATTTCTTTGTGTAGTAAAACTTCAGTGTTTGATTTTGAATCAAAAATGAATATATTGTGTTGTTTATTCTTCTCTGAGCTGAGAATTTATAAAGTTATATCGTTTGATATTAATATTTTTATCGCTTGAAATTTCTGTTTTTCTTCAGAAGAAAAAGCCTTAATGTTGGGATATTAGTCGATGTTTGTACAGATATTATCAAGTCAGTTATATATATATTATACGCCGATGTGGTATAGTATATCGAGATTACGGTCAGATAGATAGATAGATAGATAAATAGATAGATAGATAGATAGATAGATAGATAGATAGATAGATAGATGCTAGTAAAAATAATTAATGAACCAGGATCAAGGAGATCCTTATACTAGGCCTGGCAACCATGCGACTGGGATTCACGACTGATGGTGGACAAGTCGAGACCTAAATTATTACCAAAAAAAAAATTGCTGAGTATATTTTTAGCAAGGAACTTGCTAGAAATTATATATACTATTAGGAAGCATTTATTTCCATGAATGCAAAGAACAAAAATGCCATAAGATAACAAAATGCACAAAAATCACTTTATGCACTATAAATAAGACCTTTTTTAGGTAATATAGCAAAAATAATGAGTTCATTTGTTTATGTCAGTTGATTACAGAAAATGTAATTGTGTAAAACAATCAGAAAGCAATTTTAGTATTTTATAAAATTGTGTATCAACAAAGTCTGAAAATTCTTTACAAAAAATGGGAATTTCAGAGAAACAAGAATTTTGAAAATCTTTATAAAATTTATTGTGATTTTTGTTACATTTACAATTTACTTAACTGAAAATGAAGAAAATATATTATTTCGCTATGATACAATAATGGATATTACTAGTATACATTGTTTTTAAAATTGAAATCAATTTAAATTATTAAGAACACAAAATTAGTAGGATAATTTGTGGAGTTAACCTATTAAATTTATGTAAAAAGGGGGGAAATTGAAAAAATATATCTGGTATCGCTGTGGTATGCAATAGAAGTTTTAAAATTCGACAATGTAATTCTTTAAAAAATGTTCATATTCTGTCTTTGCTTGTGAAACCACCTGCAATATACAGAACATTTTAATATCATTAGGGATCCTAGTTTCAAGGTCTGGTAAGTTATCAAATGTTTGGCATCCCATTTCACCACATTTTGAGCTTGAATCAAAGTTGTATTCTTTGACATCAACATGTAATTTGAGTAGTTTAGTTTTTTTCAATATGAAATTTTTCAATAAAATTTTGAACTGTTATAAAATATGCCCTTCTAGAAATTTGTTTTAGTTTTCCAAATTCATTTTCTAAATAGTATGTGGTAAATTCACCAAACAAATTTAAACCCAGTAATTAGGGAATATCTACAATCATCAATTAAGCCATTAAAATTATGATCAATGGTTAAACTAGTATCTCTTGTTAATGCATTCATTCTTTTTTGTATCCATTGTTAATGATTTCATTTTTTTCCTTGATTTACTCCCATTCTTTTTGTCATTTTTCCAGAATTAGAAAGAAATAACAGATGTTTATCATCTAAATCTGATATCACCTTTTTACAGTGGATCATTTTTCTTAGTATAACCATATATTTCTTTGATAGACAATTTTCCAAAATTTTAAAAGTTTATCAATGAAATTAACTGTTTCTGCAGTATCCTTCCATTTAATAATAGGTGTGTTTTAATGGCATCTACAATTTGATAACAAAAAACGTTTAAACAATGGGAAATATTTTGTTGCTTAATAGATTTTGGGTAAACTGCTGCATCAGTTAGTTTCGACAACTTAACAAATTGAGTTTTTTCATTTCCCATCTTGCTGCCATCTTTTTACGTTCAGAAAAAAACATTAATTCAGAAGTAGGTTCAGTAATCCAATTATACAATTAGTAGGTTTAGTAATCCAATTATTCCGGATATTTTTAAAAAGTGGGCATAATCAAAACGTATGTACAAACCATTTTTATTTATCCAATTTGTCAAATTAAAGAAAAAGTTTAATGGGTCCTGTTATTATCACATACAATTGGAATTAATTGACCGTTTGATTGCATTAACAATAATTTTAATTTTTTTTCATATAAAAAGTTGCCTTTAATTTTGAAACTTAAGTAAACATTTTTGTCCATCATTTAAACATTTTATCTTGATGCCTAAATATTGTTTTATTTTCATCCAAACCAAATAAGTTCCATCCTTGTTAGTGTAGAACAACCTTGGCATACACTTCAAAAGAATACATTTTTTCTGATTTTCAGCGATTTCACTAAAATATCACCAAAAACATGAAAGTCATTTAATTTTTAAACTTCTGATGTCAATGCTGGTAATGTTCCCACACTGGGTAAATTAAAATCATCCTGAAGTTTATTACATAATGACCAAGATGTAAAAAATATTCGACTGACCTGATAAAAATATCAGAATCATTATGTTTTGTCCTGATCGTTTGTGGCGACATAATATTAATATACTGTTTTATATTTTTTCTTAATAAGTTAAAAAATGATACTAAGATACTAAGATAACTAATTGCTTCATTGACTTGTGATCAGTGCTGAAACATTGATATTTGACTTTCTGAAAGAGAAAAACTGTTGCATATATACCAGTAAATTTTCAAAAATTTTAATTAAAACATTGGAATACTTCCAGTGAAAGAAATCAACAGATTGGATGATTATTTGATTTATAGCATGTAACTGTTGAGAAAAAATCCTGTTGAGCAATATTCTGCTACAATTTTGCAAAAGTGAGGATTTTGTCCTTTCCTAGAAACTGTGTCAACTCATCATTTTGTACATTCCGCACAGAAGCTGAAGTTTATTGTATTTGGTTGTTGCCGAGGTAATACACTTATGGTAAATGATTAAATATTGATGGTTGATTTCTGGGTCAGACTTTTCTTGTAATAACCACTGTTTCATAATCAGATATAAAATTCCTTTCACAAATAACAGTAGGTGTTGTCTTGAGGAATTGGTTTTAACCATCTTTCTCGCTCATCCTGATCTTGAAGAATACAAAATACATGAAGCTCATTTTGTTAATTAGAGTTACTACGACAACCTATTACATCGCACATTTTGACCATTTTGAGAAAGATTTTGGGGTACTGATATTAAAAAATATTAACTAAACTATTATTTTGTAAAAATTACACGGTGCTTCTAAAAAGTGTATAACCTTAATGTATGGAGGGTTTGGTATTCAAAATTAAGAATTATAAAGTTTGTATGAATGTGAGAATTTGTCATCTTATGTTACTTTCCGTTGTCTTAAATAGATATATATAATATATATATATATATATATATATATATATATATATATATATATATATATATATATACACACACTTCATGTTAATCATCCAATCGAAAAAAGGACAATAATAAAAAAATAAGCCCATCCCCTGTGCCCAATGCGCATTCACATATACCCACATATGTACACACACACAGAGATACACACACATTTATATATATATATATATATATATATATATATATATATATATATATATATATATATATATATATATATACAAACACATACACATACACACAGAGACACATACTAACATACACATCCACTAAAAACATAAACCTGGTATGGGGGCAAACAGGTGCTAGATCTTACCCACAGGTCCTTCCTAGGTAACTAATTCTGTCCCCTAGTCGAGATTCCATTGTCGGGTGTTGTTTTAGACCATGCCCAAGACCTACCATCCAGTTCTTTAGAGAAAAAGTTATAATAATAATATTAATCACAACTTCCCTTCATTTCCTTACCGACTACCAGTCACTTGATCTTTTAAGCCATAACTATCTAGAGGCTTCTTCTGCTGCCATTGTTATTGAGCGAATGGCCTTGTTTTCCAAACCTGTTACGCCTAATTTTGGGAACATCTTACATAGTGTCCGCCTAGCAAAGCTTCTGCGTCCGAGTCATCCGCCTTATACTGAGCTCGCCAACCACGCCTTTTGCATTATGTAAATATTTCCCAAGTTTCCTTTCGTGGGCTATGTCCACATTTTCTTCCCAAAGGACTGTTAGTTCTAACATGATGACTTGCATGGTCTATTCCGAATAAATAATCATGTCTGGCCAAAGCTTCGTATGTCTTATTGTCGTTGGGAATTTCAGCTGCCTGCCTATATCTACTAACATTTGTCAGTCGAGAGCAGAACTGAGGAGGGGGGGATCTTTTCTTCTCCTGTGATGTGTTTACCTTTTCCTCGTCTCGGACGAATTTTATCAGCTTCTTATTCAATTCATATCGGTTTGTTTGGAGACTCCTTTGCAATAGCTCTTATAACTTTATCATGGCAACACCGGTAACGTCCCTTACTTAATGCTTAATGCCTTGAGGCAACCGCTCAATACATGTTGGAGGGACCCTCTCTTTTGGCACAATGGACGCGTGTGGAGGTTTGCCGGGCTGGATAATGTATCAGACACTGCCTGCACAAGAAAGCTTTTATTACTAGGATTAGTATACCAGAGATCCGACCAGGAAATCTTCCTTTTTTTTTCTAGTTTTCCCCATTTTTTCCACGCTCCCTGTTTACTAAGGCCACCATTTTACTAGATCTAATTTCCTCCACACCTGTTCTCACTTTATATTGAAGACAGTATTTCAGACCGTTTTATCTCTACTTTGAGAATTAGGACAGTAACCTAAGCCTGATCTGCTCACTTCCACTGTTCTCACTCGCACTTTCTGTCTCAACCTTTGCTCTGCTGTACTGACTTCGTGCGATTCCTTTCACTTTCTCCAAGTTCGAACCTTTATTCTTGCTTCTACAACTTTAGGATCTTTTGAATCTTTATATATGATTGCCTGCCTTGTCTTCGCCTCTTTAAATTCCTCAACTAATCCACTGAAAGGAGGTTGCAATGCGTTCGATACTCTATACAGAGCTGCACTGCACAAACTTCTTGGGAAGCCGAGCCATCTCAAATATCCGTTAACTTTCTTCTTCATATTCTCAACTGTTGGCAAAATGGCATATTAATATATCCATGTTTTAAACGGCCTGGCAGACGTGACTTGTCCACTTTGCTAAACATTACTTCGAGGCCTGAAAAAAAATTTCTGGGTAGCATCAGTATCTTTTATATTAGCATTGAATATTTTACCCAGACACATAAATAGTTTTTCTTTTAACGACGGGATAATGGTTCCTGCAATCTTGAAATTTTTTATCACAATCTCTCTATTCAATACTAATGACCTTGATTTTGTCTTTTTAAACTTAATTCTTGCCCAAGTCATTATCTTTTCTAAACCCTGTAA